ACATCACACCACCTAGATTCAATAAAGTGACGCTCAGCAAGGCACATAACCTGAGCATCATACTCACGAAAACGAATGAAACCGTAACCACGGCTCTGAGTTGTGTTGGGATCCCTTTTGACCTTTAGAAAGTTGAAAATCCACATTATAGGCAAAAGACTTTTCTTTTATCATTAAGTCATTATTAAAACACTGAGAATACAACATAGTATCTTTGTACACATTGAGAATTAGTGCAATTGCGATTCCACAGAGGAAAATGGAACTTTGTCTATTTACAATTAGCCATTCTACTCAATGAGAGCTTTGATTAGACATAGAAACCACTAACCGCTGAAAAATTTTAAAAAGTACTGTGATGATTCTGTCCCGAAATGTTCGAAACAGACTGACCAGAAGGGCTCTGAAATTAATTTTAAGTGTGAAATCAAGTCAATCAAATCTTTACTATTTATGCATCTTCCCGGTTTCAAGGCGATATCTCTTTTAGAATAAAAACGTAATAGATTCGTTCTGTTACATTTCACTGTGCTTTTACACACTTCCTTAATAACTCCTACGCAGGTGATAGGCCGTTCATGATTGGTCATTGTTGTGATTAGTCGTTCATAGTGAAGATGACGTTGTACATACTTAGAAGGGTAAAGCACGAATAAAATGCAGAAACCAACTACGAAGTCAATCAAAAACAATCATGAATATTGTAGACAGTAAGTTCATATATAATAAATTGTCGCGTTGAAGATGCAAATTTGATAAAAAATTAGAAATAAATTTTACATATCTCAATTAACTTCAATATTTTTGACATTCCATTAAATACCTTATAATCAATATATACTTCAAATAGTTAAATATACGGAGGTCTTTTGCTTTAAATCTGGAAAAAAGCCCCGAATATGAAAGTACTGGCCCAAATGCCTATTTGATTTAAATACAAGACAACCAGCATAAATTACTTACCTGAGCCATAACAACTTCTCCATATCTTGAGAAATATGACTTTAAAGCAGCTTCATCAACTCTCCACGGTAGATTAAGAACAATTAAATCAGTGCATTTTCTGCCATCCAGACGCTTGGTCTTCGCCAAATTACCAGCCTCTTCATCGTCGACTTTTCGTTTAGCTAAAATTTGAAAGCCAAAAAAGTTTAGGGTTTCGAAAAGAAAAAATATTACTATTATAACTAAACAAAGAAAACGGGAAAACTCTCAGTATCGGAAAACAGTACTTACAATAAGATGCAACAATCTTATACACTCTCTCTTGCCAACCATCTGGAGGGGGGAATATACGGCCTTCAGAAAATTTTACACCACGCAAGCAACCAGACTCAGAGTTATACTTTAGGGAAGTCGCGCGAGGAAACTGTGCAGTCAGCGTACTGAGGAGCAGCGTACTGTCCTCCTCCAAAGGCAATTCAACAGGCGTACTTTCATCTTCACAAACGCGAATGTAACAAACCTCAGGCTTAATATTCATGACTGAAGGAAATAGCAAACAGCACAACAGACCCCACGGCACAGTTAGCCCGAAAAAAAATTAAATTTACCGCTTTTAATCAAATGACCTTGGCCCATAAAAACGCCATTGATATTTAAGTCAAATTTACTACTAAAATCCAGCATAAAATAGAAGAAGATACAATATTTTATGCATAAAATTAATGAAGTATATTTTTTATATTTATTAGTTGCTACTACAACTTATCTCTTTTTTCAACATATTTTTATGAATCATAGCTCGTTCATAAGCTATTTTGCCAAATTCAAAATGAAATAAAAATTTTTGGTATATCATCTTTCTATTAAAAAGATGAACTAGTTTGAAAGTCTTGAATTTGGTAGATCGAGGAATAATAACAAATGCAGAAATCATTCGACCCAAATAAATCTCTGAAATTAATGAAGAACTTATGTCTTTTTAAGCAATTTTGTCCAAGAGCAACCTGATGCTGTAAACATATTAATATCCTATCGCAATTTTACTAAAACTTCAAGGATTACAAGTGACAAATTATATATGGGAGACGATAACGCAAATTGAAATACATTAAAGAAAGTGTTGCGCAATATGTTCAATGTAATATGATTTTTTTTAAAAAATTTGAGAATAGCTCTAATCAAAAAGAGTTTTTAAAAACGTAACACTGAATATACTTCTTTATTAATTCTAAATAAGTAAAATATTTTTTCGCCACAGAATTGTGGGACACTTCATCAATGACCAAATAGCAATCCTGCTATTGAATACTGCTCAGAAATATTTATCTATTAGTGTTCACGCGAATTATGTTAGAGTTATCTTATAAATAATCGCTTTGCCAAAGTACCCACTTCGCTATCAATATATGTACTGAATAAACGTATTCCGTGCTAGGCATCTGTTTCCTTTATAGCTGGGCTATAGCTTAGCTTGTTCTTGATTTCTTTATAGCTGGGCTATAGCTTAGCTGGTTCTGGGAGATCCTTTCATAGCTGGGCTATAGCTTAGCTGGTTCTGGGAGTCTTTCATAGCTGGGCTATAGCTTAGCTGGTTCTGGGAGTCAGCCTATAGCTGGGCTATAGCTTAGCTTATTCTGGGAGTCTAGCGTAGCTGGGGTATAGCTTAGCTGGTTCTGGGAGTCTAGCTAGATGTGGGCTATAGCTTAGTTGGTTCTGGGAGTCTAGCTAGATGAGTTTCCCTTATAGCTAGGCTATAGCTTAGCTTGTTCTGGGAGTCTAGCTAGATGTTGGAAAATCTGCCATAGTATTTCTGAGTCAGTCAGGCTTTACTAGCGTAGCAATCCGTGGAGCTATAGCTTAGCTGTTCTGGGAGTCTAGCTAGGTGTTGGAGAATCTGCCATAGAGATTTCGGTCAGGCTTTACTAGCGTAGCAATCCGCTACAATGCAATCCGGTCAGGCTTTACTAAGGTAGCAATCCGTTACAATTCTCAACCGGTCTGGCTTTACTAAGGTAGCAATCCGCTACAAGTCTTTAACCATTCAGGCTTTACTAGCGTAGCAATCCGCTACAGAATAGTATATTAGTTTTCATAAATGTTAAATTAATGTTCAACTTAAAGCTTTTATTAAATTTTGGATTAAATTTAATAGATTTCAATTAATTTTATCTTTTAAATTAAAATATTTGTTTGATTTATATATTTAAATCCCTCGTAAAATTGTGAATTTTAATTGCTCATAATTCCTAAAAATCCTATACAATTGACTATATGCTAATTTTAATGCAATAATCATCTGGTTTTATAGATGGTATCTTGCAAAACTGCTGGTGAATTATTTCTTTAAGGAAAGAGCTTAGGACAATGTTAAGGGGAAATATGTAAATTACTGTCGAATTAAAGCGGTAGTAAAACAAAAATAATAAAATTAATTGATTCGCGTCACTATGATTTTAATTTCATCAATCATAATCATTCCTAATTGCGCTATTTGTGCCTAGCGAGTCACTTGGTTATTTCCTTGTACTTTATCTAAAGCGTTCCAATTTTGAGTAGGATGTTTTAGAAAAGCTCAGGAAATAGGAATCAATATTGTGTTTTGTTTAAAATGATTGCAGGTAAGTTACACTTATATGCTTTATTTCGCATATTCATCAAACGGACGGTATTTCAAAATTTCGTAAAATAATATTAATGACTATATTATTCGAGACTTAACATTGGTTTGCATTTCGTCATGTTAAAGACCCATTTAGCTAATGAAGATACTCGATTGAGACTATAAATGACTTGCTAAGATGAAGCTTGAGGGTAATTGTTCTATTGTGAGGTTCATGGATAATATTATTTTAAATTATCTTAAAATATTTCATATACATGGAAATAAGAAGAAAAGGTGCCTTAAATCACCAGATAGCCTTGTATACAGAAAATCTTAAATTGTTTACCAGTCAGTCTTTAGATAATGTTGTTCAGTTTTACTATTAACAGGAACGGATAAGTTAACTATCGGGTGGTTTTTGAGACGATGTTACTTAAATCGAAGTTGGGTAGATGTAACTTCTATAGGTATATAGAAAATTAGAGAGATTGGTCCATATGTTCCCTAAACCGAAATCAAGCCCCCATTGAGCGAATGCCACCACCCTTTTATGGAACTAAGAATCCATTCCTGAATTGAATAGTTGAATTATTGTAAATAATTATGCTTCATGTAAACGGTTAAGTGGGTGAAATACGCAATCACAGCACGATCAAATTAGTCAATCTCAGTAGCACTCGAGCATTTCGGTTGGCGTGATCGCGTGAGTAGAGGACTTAACAGCTAATTATCTATTAATGTTCATTAAAGTTTGCTGGAGTGGGCGATAGACTTTCATCCACGTGGTGCACCATGGGCAATGTAATCTCAAGCTGCAAAAGGTCCAAAACCCTTATTTGACTTCTGACTTTAAATTATCATGACCCCACTGTATGTCATATTCCTCCACTTCCACCGTGCACACCTTACCT